CCCCCCCCCCCGCCTCTTCAGGCCCTAAAATATTCCGTGAGAGGCCATGTGTTACCCTGAGGTTCTGGGAGGCGTGCCTTCTGAGGCCTGGTTTTGGCTCGGGGCGGGAAAGCTGGGGAGCTCTCCTGTACGGCGCTCCTGGGCTGCGTGCCCCTCACCTCTAGGCAGGGGGCGCCTTGGCCCAGGAGTGAGTGCAGGCCCAGGAGCGGGCGGTGCTCGGCGCGCTCCTCCCATGCCGGTGTCAGATATACGGAACAGATCTCCCAGGCCGGACGCGCGGTGGCCTGACGGCCCGTGAGGATTCCATCGGCCTGACCCTGCCCGGCTTGACCCTGCCCGGGCGCGCCATGTTCGCGCGTGGGTCCCGGAGACGCCGCTCCGGTCGCGCGGTGAGCGATACTCGGGGCAGCGGTGGGAGTCAGGGGTAAACTGAGGCCCAGGAGAGGGGGCAGAGGACAGGGATAGCGAGGAGGCGCGCCACTGAGGGTTTGGGAATCCCCATCTCCAGATTCCCAGAATAGACAGGCTGGGGCTGCTGGAAACGTGTGGATGAAGGAACGTGGAGATCTGGTGGCAGATGCTCCCTAATCGCCTCTCTGCACACTTCCATCAGCACCCCAGGACCTGGTGGTCCTCTCGTGTGAATTCTGGGAGGGGATTCTGAGGGCCAAAAGACTGGATCATGGAGTCCTGAATTGAGTAAGGACCTCCTGAGCATCTGAGGGAATCTTGTACCTTGGCAGAAAGTGATCTTAGGGGTGAGGTCCTACACTCCTGAGGTGCCTAAATACTAAGGGTCCAGGGATTGGGTTTTGGAGTTAGAGGGCTTCTAGGCTTCTACCTGAGCCAGGAGCTTTTTGACCTCCTAGATAGTGGGGCTGCTCTTCCTTTGGAGGGGGTCTTTAAGTGGGGTCTGGGTTTGGTGGTCCAAAGGACCAAAGGCCAAGACTTCTTGGGGTGGGGATTATTGAATGGATCATGGGCCTCCTGAGATCCTGATCCAGTTCCTTAGGTATGAAAGGGGGGAAGCCAGGGTTTGGGGGAAGGGCTTCGGAAAAGAGGGACAGGGTTCATGTGGGGATCCCAAGTGAGGATGGGGCCTCAGACTCCTACCCTGTGGAATTGGAGTGCTGCTGGCCTCCTGGATGGAGAAGGGGCCAAGATGAGGCCTGGGAGGGACACCCGGATTAGAGTCTCGGTGCTCTGGTGTGGAGAGTGTTCTGAGTTCTGGGGGAGGTGTTTGAGGCCTGGAGGAGTCAGAGGCTGGTGGGAGGTGTCCAAGGCTGGGTGAGAGGGAAGGGAATTCCCTGAAAAGGGGTATATAGGAAGGTGGCCTCAACTTCCCCGCCTCTACCTCAGTTGTGTCCTCCTCTCCTGCACTCCCGGCGCTGTCCCAGCCTGCCCACCGCTGCCCTGGTGGGACAGGCCCTGGCGTGCGGTCGCGGGCCTGGGAGTGGAGAGGCGGGCGTTGACTTCTCTCTCCCCGCCCCCGCACCTCGTCTGGTACCGCGTCTGCCCTCACCCACTTCAGCCTCCAGAGGCGGAGGACCCAGACCGCGGCCAGCCCTGCAACTCCTGCAGGGAACAGTGCCCCGGCTTCCTGCTGCACGGCTGGAGGTAGGTGACCATCTGAGGGCCTTGTCTTTGTCAGGGCCCCGTCCTCAGGGGAACCCCCAGAAGCTCGGGCCACACCCGTAGGCTTGAGCTTAGTCCATGGAAGCAGCTCAGTTGGGGCAATAGCCATACGCTCAGACTCAGGGCCCCACCCCCTGACTCATTCCCAATTGTCCAGTTCCCAGGAAAACTCCACCCACTACATAGCCCCGCCCCCCAGGAGTGTTCTCGCCTGGCTGCCAGTCCATCCCTAGGGAAGTCCTCAGTCCCAGGGGCTGAGCAGCATCCACTGACATCCAGCCCCTCTCAGACTCAGAACTTTTCTCCCAGACCCAGTGTCCTATCCTCCACCTGGAGCCCTGTACCCAAAACGTCTCGTGAAATCCCTCAGAACCCACAGCCGGCACACTCAGGCCCTACCCACAGGCTCAGAGCCCCCACCCGCCCACAAGTTCAGACCCAGCACAGGCTAGAGCCTGCCTCTAGGAAAAGTTCCCCCACAATATCCAAAGCCAGTCCTGGAAAGAAACCTCTGAATATGTAACTCCAATCTCAGACTCAGAGCCCCACCTTTATTCAGGCCCACTGTCAGGACAGTCTGACCGAGTCCCAGAGATGATAGTCAGGGGCCACAGCCCCACCTGCAGTTCACAGCCACTCCCTCTGCTCCTCTCTCACCCACAGCAGTCCCACCCCTGGGCCCAGAGCCCTGTCCTGGCTTAGAGTCCTTGGGTGACGATAATCTGTATGTCCCTGCCCCTTATTTGTACTTCCTTGGGGCTGCCAAAGGGTCCAAGTGAGCTACTACACCTTAGTAATTGACACCCTTGCCTCTCCCTCAGAAAGATCTGTCAGCACTGCAAATGCCCGAGGGAAGAGCATGCTGTGCACATGGTGCCTGTGGATCTGGAACGCATCATGTGTCGGCTAATCTCAGACTTCCAGCACCACTCCATCTCCGATGATGACTCTGGCTGTGCCTCGGAGGAGTATGCCTGGGTGCCCCCTGGTCTCAAGCCAGAGCAGGTGACCAGAGGCTGCCACCTGCTCCTGTTCTCCAGTGGATGCACACACATGCAGGCACACACATATACAAACCTATTTGTGGGACCACACTAGGGTGTGTGGTCAAATTGCATGTATCCTTCTGACCCCTATGTAATCTCACAGTGGTCGGCCCCCCACAATTCTCAGGGAACCCTGAGTGATCATTGAGTGGGTTAATTAGGGCATGTTCACCCCACTCCTATTCTATCTCTTAACTCAGGTCTTATCCCAGCACTTCATTCACCACATCACATTAATTAATTCATTCAACAAATAGTTATTGAACACCTACTGCATCCCAGACACTGTTCTAAGCACTGAGGACACAGCAGTGAACAAAACACAAAAAAAAATACATCCACCCACATGGAAGTTAGATTCCTAAAGTGAACAACAGCCAATATAAACAAACCTATAAAAATATGTCAGATGGTGTAAGTACTATGCAATAAAAAAAGCAGGAAAGGAGTAGAGAGAAAGTTAGAACTGTAAATAGGGTGCCCAAGTCAACCTCTGTGAGAATATGATGTTTGGGCTTCCTGAAGGAGGTAAAGAAGTAAGCCATGCAGATACCCAAGGGTAGAGCTATCCAGGCAAAAGGAAGAGTTGATGCAAAGGCCCTGAGGCAGCAGCATTCTTGGCACGTGTGAGGAACAGTGAGGAGACAAGTGTAGCTAGAACAGTGAGTGACTGGGAAAGTGGGGGGAGGTGAAGTCCAAGAGGTAGAGGGGGGTCATGGAGAAGACTTGAACCTCTACTCTGAGTGAGGGGGAAGCCACGAAAGTGTTGTGAGCAGAAAGGGATGTGGTTTGTTTTAGGATTAGCAGGATCCCTCTGACTGCTGCATGTAGAACAAACAAGGAGTAAGGCTGGAAGCGGGGGGGGGGGGGGG